CATCAACCTTGATCCGGGTGTAATAAATTGGGCGAACGCAAAACGGAAAATTTACGTAACTTGAAAATAAGTAACCTTTGAGGTTCTTTCTGTGGTGAGGTTCACCTTGAGGTTCTTGAGTGTTCAGAAAAATATTTTTCTAGTCATTTGTTTGTTTTCATGAACATGGTGATATGGACGATCGTGATTACATATGTGCTAAATTTTGCTACGTATTCAGAACATACGGATTTATGTATGCATAGTGTATACTCATTCTTTGTGAGATGACGCTTCTTCCTTGATGATGAGCAAAATAATTAAAAGCCTCTAAATATCATACTAAATATTTGTTGGGGATTCGCTTGAGACATCCACTTCGTTATTTCACTGCTCAAAATGAATTGTGGGTTCACATTTTCCAAAGGTTCACCTGAAAAACATTATTGCACTTCAAAACAACACAGCTGTTAAAGTTATATTCGTGCTGTAATGGAAATACAGTATTATTTTTATAAACCTGTTTGCAATGCATGAGCCTACTAACTGATATACCCTGAGATGCTGAGTTGCAGTCAAAATTCATTTCCAAGTACAGCGCTTTTTACTAACCACATCAATCTCGAGGTGAGGGAGTGTGCAAGAGGGAACAATAATTCACCCGCTAATTCTTCATTGCTTTTAGAATATGTCGTTGTGTTGATCGACGATTATGTTGATCGTCTATTCTAAGCACGATACAATAACTGACATATAAATTCAAATCCTAGAATTTTCGTGCCAATTTATTGAATTTGCTGAATCTCTAATAACGACAACGATCTAATATTACCCAATTATTGCCCAAACAAACTGTATTTTTTTATTCATAACAATTTATTGCGAGTGTCATAAATTCAATAACTTTATAGTAATTTTGTTTAATATAATCTTAAAATTGTACTGTATTTGCTCTATTGAACGAAAAATTTTGATGGGTTGGCTCTTCAGAAACAGACATAATCTGCAACTCTCCTGCACCACCGAGTGTCGTGAGATTTACAAACTTTGTGGAACCCCTTAAAAGTGGTTTCTAGAGGAAACGTTCTTTCTGATGATAAATTAAACTCTATGGCACTTGCTTTCAATTGGGTCTAAATTGTTCTCTTTAATGTTTAAGACGGCGCTTCGCTGCAGAACTTCACAATTGAATAATTTAATTAAGCGATAAAGTCGCATTTAACATGACATTTGTCATACTAAGAATAATCAATCGGTTAACGCTATTTGAGAGCCAGAAATTATACCTGATAAAAAACAAGTAACACAAATTACACTACAAAAACAATCAAAACAAGTTGTAAGCCTGAAACAGCCTAATGTGCCATGTAATATAATTATGGCACCAATAATATGAGTCATCGTATCATGACGACTGACAATAGAACACAATCGCTGGCTTAGCAGAATAACGTGGGGTGAAGTTTTGATGCGGCAAAGTTTCTGTTCCAAGAAGTTTGTGGGCCAAGGTTTTTGTATACCTTGTCTGATGGTCGATAAGTGTGCACAACAACTCAATAACGATAAGCTAAGAAAGAATCGCTATATCGGAAAAAATAGCACAAAACAAATTGATTTCATCACCGCATTATTACAAGTTGTTGCAAACGTTTTTTTTTTTCAAATCAAAAAAATTAAAAATGCGATATTGAGATTATGTTATATTTCAATATAAATATACAGAAATAAAAAATGAAGTTCTCGGCTCATGTCCAAAATCAAATAAATAATAGTAAAAGGCTTCAACACCAAAATAATGAAAACACGAATGATGAGACATTAGTTCGAGTCAGTGGTCGGCAAACTTTATGTGGTACTCGTCCAAATATGCACATTGATATGCCGCATTAATTTCCGCATATGAGCAATTGTCACAATAAAATTCAAATCAGAAGCGCTCGCGATACCTTTCAGTATTAATTGGGGCAGGTTCGTCGAGTAAACGACACACAATTAACTTATGTTTTTGCATACGCTAATTACTACAAATAAAACGCCGCACAACAGTCTTTGTTTCGAAATCAGTCCGCAGATAATAATTAATTTATGAGCAATATTTGCATTAAAATTGAGATCGTTCTAGGGCCACAAAAATTGTTTATGAGCCACATTTTGTTCGCGGACCACAATTTGCCAACCACAGGTTTAGGTGAAAGTGGGAAGCGACTTGCTAGTAAAAAATTCCACATAGTAGAAGTTGTGTAAAATCTATATGATTTTTAGGAAGAAAGGAGTTACACTGTGAATGCCTGTGAGATTATTGTGGATCAAATAATAAGGAAGCAAATCCAAATATGTAAGATGAACTGATACCGTTGTAATATAATATGCAAAATAAAAAAAAATGATATAATTCGATGCACAAAAGTATTTTACTCATATAAAGACAATCATGCAAAGGCAATATGCATATCAACTCAACATAGTATAATTCAAAAGGAACCGAAGTGTCACAAGAGCCCGATCTAAATTGTGCAAGCAATACTCCGTGATAATAGCGAATCAATGACATGTAAAGGATAAGTATTCAGTCTGTAAAAGAACATAATCAAACAAATAAATGAAATTAATTTTTAAATATTTTCACAAACACTTATTCGTCAGTGCGTTTTTCGACACAGAAATGTGAGTCAAGTCAGGTTTATTTTCCCTAATAATTAAAATATATCAATTTTACACAAATTATGAGGAAGAAATTATTCAAAACAATTTTACTGTAAACGAAAGCAACTAGGAACCGAAGCTGTTTTGCGAGTAGCGACTCAAAATAATTAGAAAAATTAATTTCAAAATGATTGTTATTATCGGTCAGTACCTTATGGTTCTGGGTAATTTTTTACTAAACGTGTCTATATAGAAAAAAATGATTAAATATTACAAAGAGAACATATTAAGGAGCCATGAGACCACCAGATGACGTATTCCCAATTCCAACTTATTTGAAGCAAAATTGCTTCTGTTTTGAAAATATTTTGGGAGATTTTGAAGGTGACAAAGGCGTGGTTATAGTGTTGATAGAAAATTCATAATGGAAATATTCTTGTGCAATAAATCAACTATAATTGAATTGATACCGCAAGTTTCATAATAATGAATTGACCACAACCGGCATCGTGAGTGACCTAAGTTAAAATTCGAGTTTGTAAACAATAGTCCAGCGATGTCAGAAAGTTCATAAGTTCATACAACATCATGACAATCCTATAAAAGCCTCAATCATATTATAAAGGAGTTTTACTTTACGTCAAATCAACGAATTCGAGATTGAGCTTTGATTCATCAAAGATGTGATAGACTTTAGCAACGGATTTCAAAGACATTCTAATCCGAGCTACCCATAGATCCACAAGGATATATTATTGGATGATATGAAAGACGAGGCTTTGAGACGCAGTGAATCGGTGTCGTTTCGGATACATTCCCAGATAGTTATTGATGGTTCATTAGTCAGCAAGATTTGTACACGTTTGTACTTTGCTTGTCTTAGACATCAAATCCTGTGTAAATGATTTGATAATATTAATTGTGCTACTAATTTGATGTATGTGTGTTTGACAATGTCAATTTGTTCTTCACTTAAAAGTCTACAATATCGACTATTTATGAAATATAAAAAACAAAATAATTAGGTGAAATTTTTAGGTGAAAAGTTCATTGAATAATTTTTACCATAATTATCATTCGTGAACTCTAACACATGAGTACTACGTAAAAATGATACAAAAAAAAGAGCTTCAACCAAAAAAGTAAAAAATAAACTATTTCAACTCAGATTTCTAAAACGGTCAACACAGGAAAGGTAACAGAGTGACATTTTCAAAATATAAATAATCACCTCCAAATGAAGTTTGTACACACTTCCAAGCTTGTGCTTTTCTTGATTCCACTGAATTGAAATTCCGGACTGAAGGCATGAAATCTGAGAAATTCCTGTATCACAGAATATACGTTACAGGCATTGAAAAGTGGGTACTCCTTCAGTATGTGTACCAGCAAGTTAGGCGATAATTTTATTTTTTTAATTTTAGTTATGTTACGAGTTTGGGGACTGTCTGTGTTAGCCCAGTAAATATACCCTCTGTTCGACTGGAGCGTCGAAAAGTGTTTATGAAAATTGTGCTTGTTCTTGGTTTGTTTTACTGACTACGTAGAACACAGATAGACAGAGCTACCAAAGGTCATTAGGATTCATTTCATATACATTTTACTTTATTATCTTATTAAACAATTTAAACTTCTGGGCTATTCAATTCCGCTTCGTTTAAATTGATAAATAAGAAAATTCCGGTATTTCCACAATATTTTTAATTTCTCGCATCTATTTTTCAACAAAATTTTGCAAAAAAAAAGTTAGATTACTGGTAAAATATGAGTGGAGGACTTCTGAAAGTTCAACCCGCAACAATAATAATCTAACTCCATAAAATAGAAGATGTTTTTTTTTAATTTCAACCGGACCATTGACCTCAATGCTCCTTCACATTTGAAAACTGATTAATAATGGCGGCAATTATTTTATGGTTTATCGTATAAGTTCTAACAATGATATTCTAAATACAATAATATTGTGTTTCTGTATTTTTAATTAGTAATTGAAGAAAAACTTACTCGTTTCACAATTTTCTCCCGTAAAACCCCCATGCATTGCACTTTCTCTGACAACCGATCTGTATGCATGTTCCCGAGTTAAGACAGGGAGATGGTGAACATCTGTCAATGACTGTAAACAATCAAATCACTATTAATACCAGATTGGAATACTATTTCAAATACCTACGGTCACAGTGCAAGTACTTCCATTTTAAAGAGTTCGCTGCCGATGAAGCAAAGCTTTAAACACGCGGAACATCTGGAATTTAGACATACTATGTAAACATTTGTATATTTGTTTTCGATTATATATATGAAATTGTACGGATATAGAATGAGTAGAATTAAAGGAAATATAACATGTTTTAGACAAATTTATATATCGTACTGATATCTCACATATGTACCCAGGATTTGAATTGTTCCATTTGGCAAACCATCGCATGATGTTTCTAGCGCGATTCGGCCAAGAACTTAACACCATTTCGCTTGTTGTAGTGATATTGTCGTACCGAAATGCCCATTTTGAATCTTTTCCTGTTGTTGGCACAGCTGTACCATCAACCATATCCATGAATCATTAACTATGTATCCACCAATCCAAAACAGAATTGTTGGTCCTGTGGCCTCATACTGAGTTATTATCTGACTTTCGACCCAGTCTTGTATTTCTGTTGTTTTCATCATTGCCAACGCACCTCCAAGACTGCTACAAGTTAAGTTCGCTTCGGCGAATGATTTTATGTCATAACGGTTGACGTGATATTGGCAGTTGTTTGCAGTATTGTTGATGAATCTTCTTTCTGCAAAAATGAAGCATACATATTTTAAGATAAACTTGCAACCCTTCTTTTTTTAAAAAAGTTCTTGTTCGAGTTTTATATATAAGATCTTTAAAATCATGTTGATGAAAATTTCCACTTTTCGGGATCATATATTCACAGCAAATATATTCATTTAAATTGAGATTTTGAAATATTTAATTACCAACATACAATGAGAAGTAATTTTTTTGTCAAATTATTCATTGATTTTTCTCAATTTGCGGGATTTCGACTACTCTTTGAAATGCCAGGGTGAATTGAGAACACCAGATTATATCTACAGTTAGAGATTTAGACGAAGTAGTTATGAAAGTAAGCGTATTACCTCCACAATTATTTCCGATGTAGGCTGGTTGACAGGTACAGTTGTAATATGGGACAGTAACAGAATATACACAACTACCTCCATTCATACATGGCATTGAATCGCATTCATCTACATTGATGTTATTGAGATAAAACATAAAAACAAGTTAAAAGCCTTGTCAAATAATTAACATTGTATGAAAAAGGGATGCTGGATTTTTCTGTTGTTGTTATTGTTAAGGTGATTATTGCTGTTGTTGGAATATATAGCTTTTTCTGGCCTAATCTATCAATCATTTTCAACCTAATTAAAAATAGCAGGAGTCGTTAGAAAAACATGGCTTTTAATTTTTTCAACGAATTGTTGAAAATTCCATACAGGATATAATATTAATAACTATATCCATATTGATAATAAAAACTTTGATTAAATGATGCTCTTTGCCAGGAAATGCTATTCCTCGATTGTTTTCATCTATACCTAGATAATATAACTAAATTTTTATTTTTTTTGCAAACATTTTGGTGATTTCCTGATCAGTATATACCTTTTTCGGAATTTTGCGACCGTAGTAACCACTAGACCTGTGGTTCTCAAACTTTTCTAAGTTGCACCCCCTTTCTAGAATTTGTCAAGTCTCGCGCCTCACATCAAAAATAATCAGCTAACAATAAGCTACAAATAACAGATAGTAAGGCAAAAGTATGTTTTATTCAAAAAACACGTTGCCTACAAATACGTCGATGGAACGTAAATATTCAAAATAGAGAGATATAAATATCCAAAATAAGACAGTTTAGATCAAATTTAACAAATACTTTTATTTTTAAATGTTCACGCCACCTCAAGAAATTGTCTATGACCCCATGTGGGTCGCGCCCACCGCTTGAGAACGACTGCTCTAAACCAACCACTGTTCGAACAATCTTTCCCGTTGATATAAAACTCATAATATTACCTAACTATATAGTATAACTAATCATCGGTTTATTATTACGATTCCACCGTTGGTGAAATAAATGAAGAAATAAAAAACAATGTTGCTTTGTCGTGCACATCGTAGAATAAATGTGAGCTTAAACATATAGCCGTTATCTCTTGTTTATTCATTCAGAGTTTAAACTCCAAAATTTCCCACTCTAATGCCTGGTGACTAGATTACGTGATTGTAAAAGTAAGCTTAAATCCATGCATATTTCAGCACATACTTTTAAAATTGACTTTGTTTTTAAAAACTGATAATAAAACCAAGAATTTATAACGCGGAAATAAGGAGACGAAATTATAGATAAAATTATTCCAGGACTTTTTATTGCAATGGCTCTGACATTTCAATAAAAAAAAGGTTTATTATATTTACATTCACTAACCTGTAATCACCACCATTATTGACACTACTTTCGGATATGATTTATAAAAAATCCGGTTGGCAGTAAAGTTGTAGGTAAGATTCCTTGCAGTTTCAAATGGACCGAGAGTGAACATAAGTGTGGATGAAACAGTATTGCTAGTAATTCCTGTTGTGGATTTCGATGTGACTTCATGATTGCCAGTGGTTGAGACACTAATGTTAAAGTTGCCGTCATAGGACGTTATATTGAATATTGCTGTGAGATTTCGTCCTCGTTTGATCTCGTATAGCGTGGTCGGAGTTGATATCAGTATTAGTTCTGTTTGAGTATGATTTATATTTTTCCACAAAGTTAACATAAGTTATATTTATATATTGAATTTTCATAACGTGGACCGTTTTAAAATATTCTTTATTCCAGCAGAAAATAAATAATTTGAATACCCGTGTTTATAATGAAGAAAATTATAAAGATGTTTAAAAATGTAAAAGAGGTTATTAACAATTGCCTTTCTCGCATTTTGTCCCAAAATATCCTGCTTCACAGGTGCATTTGTATCGATTCCCATTGACTTGGCATGTGCCCTTGTCTGAGCAGACATCTCTGCCGCAATCACCGGATGATATATCTGCCAAAATATGGAATCTTTTTAATTTTTTCAATCATCATGGTTTAAAACTATTTTATTTTTAAATATAAAACAAGTGTTAGTCTGAATGCTTGATACTTGCAATTTTTGTCCAATTATTTCTCGTGTTTAAACTCATTTGACACCTAAAAAAATATTTATAATAAAGACCAGATATATTAGAACATTTGTTATTAGGTTCAGTAACATATATTTTAATATGTAGTTTTAACTTTTTTTTAACACACAACTTGTATTTTACCTTTTATCATTAAGGCGTTTTATTGAATATTGCCTACAATAATAATCATAGTACGTTGTTCTAATTTGTACTATATTTAATATTTTTACAAAGCTGATAATCGCGAAATAATTGAAAATACATTTACTCTGGTAAATTATCCGAAATTCATAAAACCGGAAGAAATTTCCGATTCGTAATTTGCAAAGTAACTGTGAAGTATATATCACAAATAAAAGAGAATCTGTTTTTTATATATTTATTATATTGACATTATATATTCATATGTCAGTTTATAAAGGTTTGTTGCTACTTTAACGTATCGTGGTGTAGCATATTCCACTGAAATATGAAGAATCCAGGAAGAACCTGCCCCAATCGAACGATATAAATAAGTGCATGTTGAGTTATAACATTCTTTTACTTATACACGGAAATAAATACCATTTCAAATAGCAATGTGGAAAAGTAATCATCTAATCAAGCGGTTAAACCAGGAAACATTGCGCTAATAATTTACTCCATTAACTAACAGTATTTAATTGTTACCACTGTACAATATATGGTGAAAAAACTTACTCCGCTGACAAATATATCCAGCATTGTAATTGCAATTGTCGTCAATCCATTTAAAACCTGCACTAGGGAATTTTGCCAAACAGTTTTCTCCTCGGTATCCATTTGGCTCATTTTTCACGCGCGATTTTTTCCTGAGAGTAAAATAAGTCAAGGGCTCACACTGTGTCACATCAAATACTATTTTTCTTTCGAATCTTTCCTATTTTTTTTTTGGTATAACGTTTTATTCATCCACAAAACACACAGGTATACAAACCTTTACGATACTTTATTCAAAAACGAATCGCACTGCCTATCACAACATTCATAGGAAATTTATGGATTGCAAATTATTTTTGCATTTGTTGTCAAAAGGTATCAATGTCAGTTAATTTAATTAAATCACCAATTTTCATCTTTGATATCTATAGCTGTTCCATCTCCCCATTTCCAAATTCCTTCTTTTTTTATCATTACCACTTGTCCAGAATTTTGTGTTTCGACTGATAAACAATGAAATTGAATTAGCCAGTTGAACATTGTGGCATCATTTTCCACCATGATACATTGCGGTTAGTTCAAATTGATTCAAAATTTATTGCATTTGTAGTTTTTCTGTTGTATTTTCTTCATTCGTCGTACTTTTTTAGTTTGACTGGGATGTAAGCTTGTAAAACGCTTGACATTGGCAGCAACTTGTTGTAATAAAAATGTTTCAAACATCAAGCGAACTCATTGAAAATAAAACATCTCTCAGTAAATGTATGGGCAACCAGTTAAATACCAAAATCTACTCAAGCATCAACGCCGTGTCTTACGGTTAACAAAAGACTTGGAATAGTTCAGATCAGAGTAGGAAAAAAATAATGGAACGGTAAATCGAGTTGTGTAGATATAACAATCAACTGCATCTTTGGTTAGTGATAAATCATCTGATGAATTTAGTGAGTTGGCAAAACAATGTCAATTTATTTTAATCAAGAGTAAATTTTTCAAACCTGAGTTTTTGATTAATGAATATATCTAAGGCATCTGTTTTTATTTCCACTAATGTCGAACCGTTATTTGCACAGGCTTGTTGAGACTCAACGAAATTTTTTCGCGGACTCGATATAATTTGAAGTGTTGTCTCATTGTTGAAGATGATCCAAGATTTATCTGTAAAGGTCGATTTTGTGCATAATAAAACCAGCATTATATGAAACTTTAGTATGTAAATATTCAATATTATATTCAGCATATAATACTTTGTGTTTTTTACCCTTTTATATATGATTGCATTGCAAACGTGTCTCTGTTTTTGAGTTCTCTGAGTTCTATAAACTGGAAATCTCCACAGATTTTCAAATAAGTTGATTTTGATTTTAAATTTATGCAACAAATAATTCAAATTACTTTTGCGGCATATCATACACTACGTGTGTACGATAGACGAGGTAAGACATTTATATTTTATAATTTTTCAACATTTAGACTTATTATGTAATAATGCTAACATTGTTACATGGACAAATATACTCCACTTTTGTATTTATAGAATACTGCTATTCCTTGTAGTAAGCTCAATAAAAAAATGTACCTGATTGACACACATATCGGTAGCTATTTTGACAATTGCGATCAAGCCATTTTCCATCAGGTGTTCTGGACACTACACAGGAGTTATTCAACTGCCCAGATATCGCTTTTGGGTGTTCGGAAACCCTAACATGTAAAATAAAGCAACACTAAGATTATATTTCTACAGTTATTTGATTAGTGAACTTGTCAGTAAGACATTGAAGAGGGTATTCTGTACGTAGCCTACATCTTATATTTTGGATATGGAAATGATCTTTGGATATCTACAAAGTTATAAAAATGAGAAATCAATCAACACAAGATATTATATTTAAAAAAAAAGTCAAGTAGATAATAGACGCCTCGGGGTATCCATTAATTCGAAGAAATAGAGTAAGTAAGTACCTCAGTTTTTTGTGATAAACGATGTATATTTCAATTAAAACAAGAAAACAAACCAGTTTGTAAATTTCAATTTGTCAATGCCGTTCCATTTCCATTCCCCGTCATGGTGTAAACCAATCCAAATTGCATTTCTATAAATAAAATAAAAACTATTTATTAAAATTTCAAACTATTTAAGCTATATTTTATCGTTTATAGATTAGATCAAACAAAGTCCAAATCGAAGCCAAAGTTTTTAGAAAGACTTAATCAGTTCATATTAAAATAAAATAAATTCCATATATATATTTATTCTATGGGAGCTTGTGCAACAAATTTTGCCATGGTTATAAATAATAAGAACGTTTTAGCAATTAAAAGTCTTTACTCATCTCGAACGTGAATTATATGAAGAAACGACTTTACGACTAGTTTATGCAATTGCTAATTAACTCAATTAATATTTTCACTAACATTCTAAATTTTCTCGCAAAAATAACTCATAAATATTAATATCAATGAAGTTCTGATAAAATGTTATCTATATTGCTGTAACGCACCGAGTGTAGAAAATAGCAACAGAAACAGTACAACATAGAAACAGTAGATAAAGAAGTTGACAAAGGTAAAATAAAAGTTGTTCTCTCAAATTTTTCTTTCAATCTCGTATAAACTGATTGTTAGAGATATCATTGTAAATGACAAAAATTAATACATCGATATTTTTTAATTTAAAAGGCTTTGCATTCAATAGTCATGTTACTCGGTCATAAACAAACAACACGATTTTAAGTGATTCATTTGGAGAAAGATGAAAAATACTGGATGATTAACCATCCATAAAAAACATACTAACTTAATATATTTATTTTTGTAGCAAGAACCAGCACAATGCACGTCTGTCAAATATTAGTAATTTGATATTTTTATTCACGTGACTGTAGGTGGATCGTCTGATTAATATTTAACACGTTCATCTAACTCGTGTTTCTAGGCGAGATTAAAATTTCGAAGATACTGCCTAACGCCCGCGTCATACTCTAAGTCTATCATGTAGTAAAAAAGCCAGTCATAAAAGCAGTACGTGGACTCACAAGTTTAGTTCCCCCCGAAACATATTAAATATGGATTCAGTAATCTTACTTTGTGAGTTGCTGTACTGCAGCTTGAGTTTCTTTATCTTTAATTTCGACCAGCCACGCATTTCGACCGTCACACACGGTCTTGGCAGCATCATATCCTTTTTCTTCTTCGAATAGTTCTAATCTATAGTCTCGGAAATCTGAGGTGGCTAAAAGTTATGACTACGTTAGAATAATAATTCTCAATATGCATTCAACGAATAAATGCCTAAAATACACGAAAAACCAGTTTTAGTTTTTTAATATTATATTTATCATAAGCACTTCGCATTGAATGCATTTCGTGTAAATATTTATTTCTCTTTATATAAATATAGGCTGATATAAGATAGTAATTTAGTGTGCGGAATTTCAAAATGAAACCAAATGATTTTTGAAGTTTTTTCTTCCGCTACTAATTCGTAATGAGATATTGATGAAAATGATAATATACACCAGTGGTTCTCAAACTTTTTTTGCGTAGTGGTCCCTTTACATTTTCTTACTCGCGGGCCACTAAAGAATTCAGAATAGCACCATTAGTACTCTTCAATGGGCTGAGTGTAATTGCTTGGCTTCCACCAGTTCATCTATATTAGGTTTTGTTTGGGACAGTGGTCTCATATCATTTCCATTATGTTTCAGAATATTGTTTTTCTATCAAGTGGCGCATTAGCGACAGGCACATCAAAAAACAAGCATCAGAAAATATTTTGTGCACTCTTGTTATACTTATTAAGTGAATACTAAAAATTCTCTCGAGGATTTCTTTTTTGACAACCATCTATCTTGCCGATGGATGCAACAACATAGTTTCAACTTTCTTTGCACAATTCAGCAAATAGACGGAGGTTCAGTACGTCTAAACTTGATATGCGGAGTGAAATACTCGCCGCTCTGTGGATTTTTTAACAATTTACAATCAGGTGCCTTCCATAAACATTTTATAAAACATTGATTTCAGTGAAAAAAAACATTCCAAGCGTCAAAGTAATTAATTTCCACTTGTGATTTTTTGTGGGATAGTACTAAATATAAATCGAATATATTTATAATGAAAACCGCAAACTAAACTCATGAATATCAGTTAATACTCATAGATTGAGTAATAATACGAATCAACAGACACTCACTTGAAGGGGATTGTCCTTGGATAGAAGTGAAGATTGTAATCCATATTAGTGAGAATAAATACCGCTTGGTATATCTTTTCAACATCCCGAAGAGTTTGTATTTTAATATGTTTGTGCTGTGTATGACGAAACATTAAACGCAATAAAATCAATCCTATATAAGTGTTTGTAACTGTAAAAATTAGAATAAAGCAGACTAATTAATTTTGACTAATAAAAGTAATGTGTTCAAATTTAATTGTGAAAAATTTTGGTCTTTGTATTAAGGGCGACCCGATTATTGTTTTGGCCTTAACTTTTATTTACTTTGGCATAACAAGAATATGTGCAATTGCCACGATGACAGCTAATTTTATCTCAGAATATCATTAGTTAATCAACATTAATTTGTTAATTAGGGTATGAAGTAACAAATTTATTCAAATCGCATAATGAGTTCACTTTTGCTATTCAAACTTATTGTTATAGTTACGATAACCAGAGGTTCAATCGAATATAAGACAATATTTTGCTTGTCAAAAATATTTTTTTATGTAAAATAAGTTATGTATGACTTTGCTAAAAGTCGCTGAATATCTAACTAAGCATATGTAAGATAAATGCTCGTTCTAAATTTGAATGTTTATATTATCAGACACTTTCTTTTTTTTTGCAGACAAAAACAAACTATATTCTGAATCCAGCGATTGCTATTTTACTTAGAATTAAAAAAATCTTCTGTAAATATATTTCTTACTGAGCTATATTTCTGGACGGATTGGCACAAAATCGCCCTAGTCCCCATTTCTCCCCTTCATTTTACACGATTGTGAACCTCTCGTTTTTGCTTCCTTCATCTAACGATTCAATAAAAACTAACCAGGCTGTTAAAATGGAAACGTGTTTGCAGTCATTGAAATTAATCTACCTATCTACAGTAGCTAAACGCAATTCGTTGAGTCAGTGGTGAATAATACTTTATGTAGTTAGGTCCATTCCTAATCCACACATGAATGGATACTGAATTACAGTTAGTGCATAATGAACTTAACGTGATAAGTTTCCGCTTGTGGAATAACAATCGCACAAGTGGCATATGGTAATGGAGCTTGGGATAATGTTTCCGGGTAACAATATTTAATAAGTATTTTTAGGATTCAATCGTCTACATACCTGTGTGATACCTAATATTTTATGGAGTTTCATGCTTAATCCAATTAAAAGTTGTCAGTTTGCTGTGAATACAGTTTCCATTACTCATAAAAAATACGTACTTTTGAAATATATGTCCTAGTATGCTCATATTAAATAACCGCTGTGAATCGTAGTTAACGAATTCGATATTGGCACCTAAGCCGAGTAGTCTAACTTTTTTTTTACTTTTGTTATAAGCGAAGTGGTTATTCAAATATACTTGCTTCGTCAATGAGACTAAAAAATCTTAATAATTGAAAGTTTTGTTAGACAACTTTAGAGCCATTTTTGTCGGTTAGCTAACTAGAAACAATGATTGTGGAAAATAAAATAAGAACCCTAATTTTATTCCCCAAAGAATTCATAATTTGAAGCTGATTTTCAAAACTTTTGCGTGTGGCTAAGGGTATTCACCACGCGTATTTTCCAAATAAGATAAGATTTGATATAGGAATCTCGTAATAAAATATAATCTTGCCCATTTTGTAGCCTTGCTACGACATTTCAGCTATATTCTAAACAAACCAGTTAGTAAATTTCAATTTGTCAATGCCGTTCCATTTCCATTCCCCGTCATGGTGTAAACCAATCCAAATTGCATTTCTATAAATAAAATAAAAACTATTTATTAAAATTTCAAACTATTTAAGCTATATTTTATCGTTTATAGATTAGATCAAACAAAGTCCAAATTGAAGCCAAAGTTTTTAGAAAGACTTAATCAGTTCATATTAAAATAAAATAAATTCCATATATATATTTATTCTATGGGAGCTTGTGCAACAAATTTTGCCATGGTTATAAATAATAAGAACGTTTTAGCAATTAAAAGTCTTTACTCATCTCAAACGTGAATTATATGAAGAAACGACTTTACGACTAGTTTATGCAATTGCTAATTAACTGAATTAATATTTTCACTAACATTCTAAATTTTCTCACAAAAATAACTCATAAATAATAATATCTATGAAGTTGTGATAAAATGTTATCTATGTTGCTGTAACGAGTGTAGAAAATAGCAACAGAAACAGTACAACATAGAAACAGTAGATAAAGAAGTTGACAAAGGTAAAATAAAAGTTGTTCTCTCAAATTTTTCTTTCAATCTCGTATAAACTGATTGTTAGAGATATCATTGTAAATGACAAAAATTGATACATCGATATTTTTTAATTTAAAAGGCTTTGCATTCAATAGTCATGTTACTCGGTCATAAACAAACAACACGATTTTAAGTGATTCATTTGGAAAAAGATGGAAAATACTGGATGATTGACCATCCATAACAAATATACTAACTTAATATATTTATTTTTGTAGCAAGAACCAGCACAATGCACGTCTGTCAAATATTAGTAATTTGATATTTTTATTCACGTGACTGTAGGTGGATCGTCTGATTAATATCTAACACGTTCATCTAACTCGTGTTTCTAGTTGATTCCAAATTTTGAAGATACTGCCTAACGCCCGCGTCATACTCTAAGTCTATCATGTAGTATAAAAGCCAGTCATAAAAGCAGTACGTGGACACACAAGTTTAGTTCCCCCCAAAAGATATTAAATATGGATTCAGTAATCTTACTTTGTGAGTTGCTGTACTGCAGCTTGAGTTTCTTTATCTTTAATTTCGACCAGCCACGCATTTCAACCGTCACACACGGTCTTGGCAGCATCACATCCTTTTTCCTTTTCGAATAGTTCTAATCTATAGTCTCGGAAATCTGAGGTGGCTAAAAGTTATGATTACGTTAGAATAATAATTCTCAATATGCATTCAACGAATAAATGCCTAAAATACACTACACGAAAATCCAGTTTTAGTTTTTTAATATTATATTTATCAGAAGTACTTCGCATTGAATGCATTTCGTGTAAATAATTATTTCACTTTATATAAATATAGGCTGATATAAGATAGTAATTTAGTGTGCGGAATTTCAAAATGAAACCAAATGATTTTTGAAGTTTTTTCTTCCGCTACTTAATTCGTAATGAGATATTGATGAAACTGATTATATACACCAGTGCGTAGTGGTCCCTTTACGTTTTCTTACTCGCGGGCCACTAAAGAATTCAGAATAGCACCATTAGTACTCTTCAATGGGCTGAGTGTAATTGCTTGGCTTCCACCAGTTCATCTATATTAGGTTTTGTTTGGGACAGTGGTCTCATATCATTTCCATTATGTTCAGAATATTGTTTTTCTATCAAGTGGCGCATTAGCGACATGCACATCAAAAAACAAGCATCAGAAAATATTTTGTGCACTCTTGTTATACTTATTAAGTGAATACTAAAAATTCTCTCGAGGATTTCCTTTTTGACAACCGATTTCTTGCCGATGGGTGCAACAACATAGTTTCAAATTCGGGAACGCTTTCTTTGCACAATTCAGCAAATAGACGGAGGTTCAGTACGTCTAAACTTGATATGCGGAGTGAAATACTCGCCGCTCTGTGGATTTTTTAACAATTTACAATCAGGTGCATATGCCCTCCATAAACATTTTATAAAACATTGATTTCAGTAAAAAAAAATTCCAAGCGTCAAAGTAATTAATTTCCACTTATGATTTTTTGTGGGATAGTACTAAATATAAATCGAATATATTTATAAAAAAAAAAAAAACTAAACTCATGAATATCAGTCAATACTCATAGATTGAGTAATGATACGAACCAACAGACACTCACTCGAAGGGGATTGTCCTTGGATAGAAGTGAAGATTGTAACCCATATCAGTGAGGATAAATACCGCTTGGTATATCTTTTCAACATCCCGAAGAGTTTGTATTTTATTATGTTTGTGCTGTGTATGACGAAACATTAAACGCAATAAAATCAATCCTATAAAAGTGTTTTTAACTGTAAAAATTAGAATAAAGCAGACTAATTAAATTAGACTAATAAAAGTAATGTGTTCAAATTTAATTGTGAAAAATTTTGGTCTTTGTATTGAAGGCGACCCGATTATTATGAAGAAGTCCTTTGGCCATCACTTTTATTTACTTTGACATAACAAGAATATGTGCAATTGCCACGATGACAGCTAATTTTATCTCAGAATATCATTAGTTAATCAACATTAATTTGTTAATTAGGGTATGAAGTAACAAATTTATTCAAATCGCATAATGAGTTCACTTTTGCTATTCAAACTTATTGTTATAGTTACGATAACCAGACGTTCAATGGAATGTAAGACAATATTTTGCTTGTCAAAAATATTTTTTTATGTAAAATAAGTTATGTATGACTTTGCTAAAAGTCGCTGAATATCTAACTAAGCATATGTAAGATAAATGCTCGTTCTAAATTTGAATGTTTATATTATCAGACACTTTCTTTTTTTTTGCAGACAAAAACAAACTATATTCTGAATCCAGCGATTTGCTATTTACTTAGAATTAAAAAAATCTTCTGTAAATATATTTCTTACTGAGCTATATTTCTGGACGGATTGGCACAAAATCGCCTAGTCCCATTTCTCCCCTTCATTTTAACACGATTGTGAACCTCTCGTTTTTGCTTCCTTCATCTAACGATTCAATAAAAACTAACCAGGCTGTTAAAATGGAAACGTGTTTGCAGTCATTGAAATTAATCTACCTATCTACAGTAGCTAAACGCAATTCGTTGAGTCAGTGGTGAATAATACTTTATGTAGTTAGGTCCATTCCTAATCCACACATGAATGGATACTGAATTACAGTTAGTGCATAATGAACTTAACGTGATAAGTTTCCGCTTGTGGAATAACAATCGCACAAGTGGCATATGGTAATGGAGCTTGGGATAATGTTTCCGGGTAACAATATTTAATAAGTATTTTTAGGATTCAATCGTCTACATACCTGTGTGATACCTAATATTTTATGGAGTTTCATGCCTTAATCCAATTAAAAGTTGTCAGTTGCTGTGAATACAGTTTCCATTACTCATAAAAATACGTACTTTTGGAATATATGTCCTAGTATGCTCATATTAAATAACCGCTGTGAATCGTAGTTAACGAATTCGATATTGGCACTAAGCCGAGTAGTCTAACTTTTTTTTACTTTTGTTATAAGCGAAGTGGTTATTCAAATATACTTGCTTCGTCAATGAGACTAAAAAATCTTAATAGTTGAAAGTTTTGTTAGACAACTTTAGCCATTTTTTGTCGGTTAGCTAACTAGAAACAATGATTGTGGAAAATAAAATAAGAACCCTAATTTTATTCCCCAAAGAATTCATAATTTGAAGCTGATTTTCAAAACTTTTGCGTGTGGCTAAGGGTATTCACCACGCGTATTTTCCAAATAAGATAAGATTTGATATAGGACTCTCGTAATAAAATATAATCTTGCCCATTTTGTAGCCTTGCTACGACATTTCAGCTGGGAAAAGAAAATGTCTCATCTAGTTCCTACAGTTCAAAACAGACATGGACGGTATGTTTTTGCAAAATATCAGTTGCTTCTGTAAAAACGGAAACGACATGTTCCCGATGTATTACTGCGGTGTGATTTTGTGAAAATAATATTTTGAAATTCTTTGTCATCATTTTTCCTGTATGGGATTAACATTTTACTTTCGGATAAGGCCCTACGCCAGCAGAACCGAAATTATTATTATTTAGGTATGGCAACACGCTAGTAATAAGGCTTAAT